CGATGCTGCCACTCTCTATCGTGCTGGTGGATGATCTCGTCAACCTGGCTGCTCGTGATGACTTGGGAACCCTGCAGTTGGGAGGTAGCGATTTCTTTGAAGTATGGCAAACCCATTCCACCGAGCCGGCAAGGTAGCCGTGGAAGAGAGAGGTCATCCGCCGTGAATGTGCGTTTCCCTGTCAGAGCCGGAAGGAAGTGCTCCGTGACCGTGTCAGCTCCCTCCCCCTCACTTACATGTATCTATTTACATGCGTTTCGTAATCCCGTCCATGGTGCGCTGGACTGCTTTTTATCTTGTTACAGTCGTGGATAGTTGCTTCATAACTCGTTTCCATGTGATTTCATCTATTTTAATTATATTTACTGGCTCACTATCCGAGCTAAATATTATGATAATCCTAGGTCGGCGTTGCTAGTCCCGCCTCACCGGCACAGGCTCCCTGAGAGCACTAGTACATTGACTGTCTTTCTCCTTTGTTGTCTCGATCATTTTTCTTTTGTCTTCTTCTTCTTCTCCTCTCTTTGTTATGGTAGTATGGTATGAGTAGGTGCATTCTGTAAAAATAAATGTACATATACATGTATGTACGTCAATTTTTTCTCCAGACTTTTCCCGTTTGTCTCTTTCCCTCAAACCAGTTAACATGTATGTACATTCGGGTTATGGAGATTGAGTGCTATCGAGTTCTACATGTACAATCAAGTACATGTATGTACATGTACTTGTGTAGGCCCATGCACATGTACATGTCTATTATGTATATCCTCGATAGGCGTTAGTTAGCCTTTGGGTTGTCCTGAAATGAGGATTATCATAATATTTAGCTCCGATAGTGAGCCAGTAAATATAATTTTTTTAATAGATGAAATCACATGGAAACGAGTTATGAAGCAACTATCCACGACTGTAACAAGATAAAAGCAGTCAGAAAGTGCGATAACCAGGTCTCAGGTCGTTGAATGTCTCAGTAGCCTGTCAGTTGTATGCCCTGTTAATGTTATCGCTCTTTCTGACTGCTTTTTATCTTCGTACAGTCGTGGATACTGTATCCGTACAAATTTTCGTTTGGAATTAACTTTCCCTATATTCGTTAGGGGCACGAAATAACTAAAGTTTGTACATGTACCAAACTAAAAGTTTTTTCTGAACGTTCAGGGTGACAGACCTCGACCAAGAACGAAATTTAGTACGTAACAAGCCTGCTGGTCGAGTGATCGAATTCGAAAGATTTCGTGAAAAATTCTACTTGTACAGTAGTTAGTTCATAACTCGTTTCCATGTGATTTCTTCTTTTTTAATTATCATAAACATTAATATTACGTTTCGATGTGTGAAGAAAGTGCTGAGCGAGTGGTCACTGCTTGGATGACGACTACACCACCGCTTAGTGGTAGAGCATGGCTGGCCATGACTGGCATGAGCGAAGGTCCTGGTTTGAGCCCTGGTTGGGACGGTCAATTTTTTCTTCCCTTGGAAAACTTCCCCTAGAACGTATGAATGGTATTATTACATGCACTCCTTCCGGTGGGGAAAGTGCAGAGTTGTAGTGGTAGGAAAGCACGCGGCTATTCTATCACTGCATGTTCCGTTGTGTTAGCCGCATCTGGTCGCAGCCGCTCCCCGCCCCGTTCCCATTTCGTGCTCAGATTCCGTTTTTGTTGATATTCAGTGGAACACTATACCAGAAAGCTGTAACTCGGACTTTGTGTGTTTTAGTCTCCCCACTTCTTCCTGTAGGGAAAGTGCAGAGTTGTAGTGATGGGAAGGCACGCGGCTATTCTATCACTCTATTTTCCGGTGTGTTAGCCGCATCGGGTCTCAACCGCTCCCCACCCCCTCCCCATGTTGTGCTCAGATTCCGTTTTTGTTGACATTCAGTGGAACACTATACCAGTAAGCTGTAACTCAGCTTTGAGTGTTTTAGTCTGCCTACTTGTGCCAGTGGTTGTGAGACTTTTCCACTCACCCCTACCGTTAGACGCTGCATCTGTCGCCAGTTTCTTTTTGATACGAGAAACCACGAACCTCGAGAACAGAATATGTTTACCGGGTGTTAGCAGCCGTCGTGAGTTCACTTGGGGAACGGACACGATAATTTACTTATGTACTTTAGGAAATTAGAGGCCCCATGCCTCGTAGAGTCGTACTGCTCTCTTCTCTCCGAAACTCCACATTTGTAAGCCAGATGAGAAAAGAGCAGTACGAGACATGTGGCCTCTAATTTCCTAGTGCTTTGAAATTCTCCGTGAAGTCCATTGAAATTACATGTGCATGTACTTTAACATAGAAGTTGCGACTTCGGCGGTAATAGTCATGAAGTTGATTGTTCCAACGAGGAGCACACGCTTCTTGCCGAACTTGACACTTGACTGACTCACGACTGCCATCCGGAGCACACCAGGAGCACGTCGCACCTTCCACTCGGCAAACCTGCAAGAAAGCACCACTCCCTGCTCAATACACGGTGTTTCGGGGAATTCACCCCTTATCAGTTGAGCTTGAGTAGGCTGAGGAAGATTGTGCCTGAAAAGCACCACTTATATACTGCTCTCCAGGCCAAACCATCACCAGGGATACAAACTTACAGAGACGCTTTGTTTCCAGCGCGACAAACACCTCGTGAAGCTCCAGGTAGCAGCGTGAGTCAGAGTCGCTCATGGAGTTGTGATAAACAGACGTTGAGAGCCAGTATAGCTATTCGCAACGCTGTCACCTCCAACAACTAGTCGCACGTCCGCGTGAGGGACAACAATACGAACTTAGAAGTTGCGACTTCCGCAGTAATAGTCACGAAGTTGATTGTTCCAACTAGGAACACACGCTTCTTGCCGAACTTGACACTTGACTGACTCACGACTGCCATCCGGAGCACACGAGGAGCACGTCGCACCTTCCACTCGTAGTGGTGCTTTTCAGGCACAATCTTCCTCAGCCTACTCAAGCTCAACTGATGAGGGGTGAATTCCCCGAAACACCGTGTATTGAGCAGGGAGTGGTGCTTTCTTGCAGGTCTGCCGAGTGGAAGGTGCGACGTGCTCCTCGTGTGCTCCGGATGGCAGTCGTGAGTCAGTCAAGTGTCAAGTTCGGCAAGAAGCGTGTGTTCCTAGTTGGAACAATCAACTTCATGTACTTTAAATGTATCTAAATGGGCTTGATGTCTGAGGATTGGTGGATAGCCATGAAAGTTTGAAACTGCGAGTAACAGCTTACACAATATGTAGTTTAGCTCCGTTCCATTGCTAACATGTCTATTGGCTCTGCCCTCGTTGTGATTATCACTTTTTGCAAGAGTTTAGCAGCATAGCTTGCGGGTACCAGTGCAGACAATACGTCATCAAAGGTTTTAAAAAAAGTTGAAAGGCATGACTAAAGTTCTAAGAAAAGTTTCCTAGTTTTGTCCTTCACTGTGAACAGACAACATGTAGAGGTTTGGTACTAGTGCAATGATGGATTGCAAAACACGAATATCAGTCGTATGACACCACACATGACTTTGTATTATACATGTACATGTGCAATACATGTACATGATGTGCGATGTATGTGAATTCGTCCTTTCCCTGTGCCTGTATTATCGCCGAACACACTCTATACTGGTGGCGTACCAACTCATTGACAAGCAGAATGGCTCTGTCTGTTTCATGTATTATAAGGTAAACGAAAAGGACATACATGTATGGATATGAGTTTTACGAGTAACTCTCCACCTAGGTAACCAGATACTATAATAATTATACAGTCAGAAAGTGCAACAACTAGCCACAAAACTGACAGAGTACGGACAGAGTACTGAGACATTCGACGTCCTGACACCTAGCTCGAGTTACTCTTAACTTGTATCCATAATTATATCCTTTTCCTTTCTACATTTATTATTGGCTCAACATCCGAGTATAATGTATAGCTACGGGAACAATTACAAGAGACCTGCGATAAAATGATCAGCTGTAGCACCTACTCCACTTTTATGTTTAGGTATCTATGTCATTCGGATCTTCCCAAGTTGTACATTGTACTGTTGAGATACCGAATTCAAATAAATCAATACCATACAATACATTAAATTTCTCAAAATGCGAAGACTCCACTGTAGCCATCCACTATATCCATACATCTTCACGACACTCTCCAAACGGTCTCTGGGATACAACAATCACTAAAAGAAAAAGAGATACTACATTTATACAAACGAGAAAGGACCAAGGAACTACAAGTTACGCTATACTGTCCACTAACACCACCAGTTACTAAACAATCAGCTCATGCGATAACATTGCACGACGCTGACCGACGGTACTGACGTTCTACAACTAACTGGCTAACAGCTCTAGCACATCTTGGATGCGCACTCCAACAGCCTTCCAACTTGGAAGGTTCTAAGTTATAGAAATACCATCAGGAGGGGAAGGTGAGCGCAACCAAGAAAAGCACGAGCTGAAAGTCTCAGCTGTGAAGGACGTTGGCCTGCTTATTGTCCATCTAAATTGTCATAGTCGAAGTACAGTGCTGTTTTACTGAGGCGTTCGGTTTTCATGATTCTTGTTCGCATAGCTTCCCCTTTTATTGATCCTCGCATCTTTTGAGCCACACAAGTTGTGTGGAACGTTGCTTTACGTTCTTGAATCGTGGTTTGACCGTATTGTCCAATGGTCTTGCCAGTACATGTATCGTCATCGACATGCATGAACATCCGCCCACGTCCTTCATGGAATAATTTATTCCATGATATCGCGAGCATAAATCCGCCGGAACCTACTACATGTACATATACATGTATGTTAAAAACCGGGGTTTACCGAATAGTAAAACGTGTATTGCTGGTCAGGTGACCCGCTTGGCGTGACCACTTGACATCCCAGCGCTAACACTGCTTGATGTGATGCATATCATGGGGTAGTTTCACTATAAGTATAACAGTCTACCATGGTTTATTACTACATGTACAATGTACATACATGTACTCATTACGTGTTTGGAGAATGCATGGCAAACCACTGTTCACGGGTGTTCAATTTTTATTTTATTTTAATTCACTCAACTCGTGGTACATTACCAATTGGCACATAAAGTGCGAGAGAGGGGTGATATCCAAGAATAGCAAGAAAATAAATAAAGGAAAAGAGGCGAAGGAAAGGTAAACAAGCAGGAGAGATTTGATAACCGCAATCAATAAGACAAGCTGAATCGAAATTTGTGTATACTTTGTTCATGCAATGTAAAACGGTGGAGACAATGTGCAATAAAACGATGAAAATAGATTTACATGTAGTTTAGTTCGTTGCCTCAGCAGTACATGTACATGTATAATTTTATACAACGTCAATGTAGAAAAAAAAGAGAGGGTGGAACAGAACACAACATAACAGACGCTTTACACTACAGGGTTCTCTGATCATGAATTTGGTATTTTCTATCTGAACACGTTGATTTAGCTTTGCCAGTACAATCAATCCGTCGAGATAGCAACGAAAAAAACTTCCTAATGCCGAACTCTGGCCAATACGTAATTCGCATCAGCTGTTGCGTTTCCGTATCTTTGTTCTACAGTGTACATGTAAATGTATTTTTGAAAGTGGTATGCCTCAAAGTTGGAGGTTTTCAAGGAGACTTGAACTACGAACATACATGTACTATCTTGTAGAAAGAAAGTGAATTCGTTAGCGGAGATGTGCAGAATGCTTCAGAAAATTCAAGAAATACAGCAAAGCAGGGGACACAAACGTAATTTACATGTACTGAAGTACATACGCCTTCATACTGTTATGGACAAGAATGAAGCCCGCACTTTAGAATGTGTTGTAAATCTGGGTGAGACGTTCGTGCTGAGAGAGAGAGAGGGGGGGGGGTCTGTAATAGGAGACAATTATTTTCATACAGTACAAGCCAAGTGCAAGAATAGCGATGAGAGGGATATGCGATGATAGTTGAACAAGAATCTAAAAAGAATCTACAAAGAATCTACAAACATACATGTACGGTAGTAGTAGTAATTGTGTTTCTTATACACTGTGCGCTGGTGTACGTACAATGTACTCTGTGTACTGTGTGCAAATGTCCGTCAGGCGTTAGCTTGCTGGGTCTCAAGGTCGTGGGGGATTTCACTGAAATTTGGTCGTTCCGTGGCGGTGGGTCGCAGGCATGCTTCCACCCGGTGACGATAGTCGTATGGCATGCCAGGTGGCAGTGGCAGCTGATGACCACGTGCGATTGCCGCCTCCACCTCTCCCTCGCCCTTAAGATGGACATACGGTGTTTGGCGAGTGAATATCTCCCACAGCACGACGCCAAAGCTGTGCAGGAAGTGACAAATCCGGAACAAAACATCAAAGGAGAAGAGAGAGAAAGTTAGAGGAGAGAATGATGAGAGAACGTTTGGGGGAAAGGGAAATATAGAAACAAACAGGCGGACGGACATACAGACAGACAGACAGACTCACAGACGTACATATAGGAGAATAGGCGGAAAGAAGGGAATAGGCAGATGCAACAACAGGAGAAAGACTACACCGATTGATACTGGTACATTTTTTACGTTTCGACGATCGTCTCCTTGAGAAAGGATATCATTTCTTTAATAATATTCTGAAGAAGACAATTGTCGAAACGTTAGTATATCAATATCAATCAGTCTGGTTGTGCTCCTGTTGTGTGGTGCGACTATTCTCCGTTGCAGTTCTTAAATCCCTTGTCCGGACCTGTGCTGGTGTGGCATCGTATGAATATCAAGTTATTTCCAAGCCAGACAGACAGACAAACATACTTACAGACAACCAGACGGACGGACAGACAGACGGACTGACAGAAAAACAAATCGACAAACTGACGGACAACGGGTCTATATAATGTTATCACCACGGTGGAAAACCAGACCACTTAAATTAACATGAACATGACAAGACAGTATGGATACTACGAGTCGTGGCTGTGAGACAGGCAGGCAGCCAGGCAGGCATAGTGGGATGATCTAAGACCATCACTGACAAACAGGGACACTCGCTTCACGTCCTGCTTGAAGGGCAAGAATTCTTCCAGCTGTGCTGCGACCTACAATTATCGGTTATTGGGAACATTTTAGGCCTTTCCCAAATCGGCCATTTATTTTGTCCTATTCGGCTTTTCGATCGGCTGAAAATTTCTGTAAAAGGTGGAAATTCGGCTCTAAAGTCGCAGCCACCTTTCGCAGATAATGATTACAGAAATTGTATTTGCATGCTATTGAGGCACTAAAACATCAATTTTCGGTCAATTCAGTGCGAAAATTCCGTATTCGGCTAAAAGATCGGTGATTTCTTCAAAACCACTATTTGGGAAATGCCCACGGGCCGTGACGCAGGCGCGGTCATGCCCAGTTGCTCACGACCCTGCAAAACATGTACATTCGGCGATTTCTTGGTAAAATCTCAGAATTCGGCCATAAGATCGGTGATTTTCTGAAAAGGCTAATTTTCGGCGAATTTTTCGGCCGGCCGATTTGGGAAAGGCCTAGAACACGTGACCTGAGACCGAGGAAAACATGCTTGCAGCGAACTGGATTTTCGGTCACCATCATGATGGGTCTGATCTACTCAGCGCCCATGGCTTTAGGAGCTGCAGCTGCCCCTTTACCCATTTTCCTTGAGGGTGATGGTGGTACTACAGATAAGGATGCGAAAACCCTCCGTCTGACGGAACCCCACTTGAAGCGTGAAAGTACTTCTGAGTATTCGTCTGAGCTATCTTCCGTCGAGCGTTATTTACTGTACTGTGTAAGGCGACTGTGCTGGGATAAAGTGACATAACAGAGTGGCTTGACATCTTTGTCATATGACTCACTTTTGCTTGGGTCGTGATCATGACACAATGCATGTGGACACTAGAGATAATACGATTGCCAGTATGCGACACATAGATGCAGCTAAGGGGGCAGCCTACCCATAAATTTCATATGGCATTCAATTGACTGCAACTTTGGTGTTTCTCAATGGATTTGAGTGAAATTTTGACCACACACTCCTGCCACTATGCTGGCCCTCAGGTTCTTGCGCCTCACTGACAGGCTTTCCAGGTCGGAAAAACTCAAATTTAAGGCATAGTGCCACGGTGTGCGAGCCACCCAGGAGCCAAACAAATGCATTTACAATTTTTTCACATTTTCGGCCCATTCTGTCCGTGCGCGGGACTCAAACCTAAAACACGTCCAGAAGCAGCCATGGGTGGTGGGCTAGGGCCCCTCAACGTGGCCCTGGAATCTGTCACAACGGAACGAGTGGGCGTTCCCTCACAGACTCCCACAGACGCAAGTCAATTTTTGAATTTTTTAAGGTTTAGCACGTGCTACGAGGTCGTACCTTTGATACAACATCCAGTGCTGGGACCTCCACAGCAAGCCATTTCCACAGCGCTGCACACCAAATCCAGGATACCCTCAGAAACCGGCAAAGACTACCACTCACGTTCCGCTACTGCCTAGTACTGAATCCTACCTGACTTCTTGACACGACTCAAACTTGCCAAAGTCACTAAATCAACGTCAACTTCAATAATCAAGCCACATATCTGCAACATCACGAGGGTGCTGGCAAAAGTCCTGCTGCACGGCGGCGGGCAAAGCCCGCCGCGGTGCAGCCCAATACGTGGCTCAAAAACGTGATTTTTGGACTTTTGGGTAGTCTGCCACCTTAAGGGTTGACTGGAGTTGTAACAGATATGGCTGTCCCGTATGATTATGGTTGCGCTACAGAGCTTTTTGCATCTTCTTCTTTATCTGTAAAATTTACGTATTTCAAGACAGTAAAGTGAATCATGGAGTGTGGTGGTGGTGGGGCCCTATAAGCTCAGCTGACCAGAGGCCTACCTGTATACGTCGGCTTTCTCGTTGTAATGCTCTCCCCGCACAGTCTCGGGTGATTTCCATCTCAGTGTACCCACTTCACGGGTCATCACCGATGCAGAATAGCGCTGGTACGTCTCACCATGGTTTGTAGAGATGTCCGTGAGCAAAGGAGTTGTCAGACTGGTTTCCTCTTGTTCTGTATTCACTCCGGGATTCCGGGAGTTGCTTGTCACCATACGCGTAGGTTCAGTTGGAATCCGGTCGGCTGCCTCAGCGAGCCCATTTTCATCGCCTTGTGTATCCGTAGGAATAGTTGTTGGGGTCGCAGCAGCTGAGCTGGGGGTCGTCTGGTTGTCAGCCTTGTCAGGATCAAGAATCGCCATGAACCGTGACGTGCCCAGGTCTCCGATTTTCACCACCCACTTGTCGCTGACTAGCAGGTTGGGAGACTTCAGGTCTCTGTGCAGACGTGGCGGGTTGGAGCCGTGCAGATATGCCATGCCGCGGGCCGTGTCCAGGGCGAACCTCAAGCGATCGTGATGTGTGAAGACATTGTCTCTGTTGTGGAGCACGTGATAGAGCGAGCCCCGCCGCAAGTACTCCATGACGAGAAACGGTCGTTTACTTGCGTGATCAGTGCTGGCTCCCAGGAATATGACGATATTAGGATGACGAATTGAACGCAGGACTTCAGCTTCTTGGATAAAATGATCAGTCAGCGAAATGTTTCTACCTGTGTATTTTGGCAGTACTTTCACAGCTACCAACATGTCGCTGAACTCTGCTAGCCACACTTGCGAGAAAGAGCCCCTGGCCAACTTCTTGGTGCGGTTGAGCGATGACCACTGTATTCTTGCCCCGATGTTGATTTGGTCTAGCTTCTTCTGATACAGTCGCATACTCTTGTGTTTGTCCTGCAGTTCTCTCTCCTTGAGCTTGAGTTGCTGGTTTCTGTTGTGGTACTTTCGGGTAGCGAGAGCAATGGCCGACACAAACAGGAGGATTGCCGTCGCAATGGATAGGCTGACTAGCGGCACGCGACAGTTATCGTATGGCACGAAACCGAAGGTACAGTGACACACAGGTATCAGGTTTTCGTCTACCACACACACACCATGCCCGCTGCAAAGCTGACCGCGGCAGGGAGACGGAGCAATGCAAGCTTCCGAGCCTTCCGCTTCGCTGGTCGTAAAGTTCGGACACTGCCTGCACCCTCCATCCAGCGAATCCGAGAATGCTCCCCTTTGACATGGTTGGCAGATTGCGTTCAACAGTTGATAGCCTCTCGGACAAAGACCCTCAGTTATCGTCATATACTTCTGCCTTGATCCCACATTAATATAGGTAGAGTCATCCGTTCCCCCGAACAAATACAGTTTTTCTCCTCTTACCACGTGATGTCTACGTATGTGGCTATGAGCGAAAAGTGGTAATAGTTTTGCCACTGTATGCATAGAGCTGAAGTTCAACAGAATGAGTTGTGACAATGTAGCCTTATCCCCTCCGAATACTAACAATCCGTTCTGGTTGTACTGTGTTAGGGTGGCGTAGCGTCTGGTCAGCACGCATGACGTTAGCGGGATACGCCGTACTCGCAGGGTTTCTGCGCTGTTGCGCATCACCACCCTGAGAACTGTGAGAGATTGGCTGCAAACGTGGGGACTAACGTGACCGCCGAACACGTAGTGCGAATCTCCATGTGTCATTGCCGCATGACCATAACGCTTTGCCAGAGGACCACCGAGAATACTGTGCGATTGTACTTTCTTCCATTCTCCTTCGCAGCGGTCATCGTTTGTCAGATGCAATATCCAAACGTCGGATAGAGGATGAGATGTGTTCCTTTCTATACCGCCGTAAACAAGGAGACGGGTGTCGTCAAGGCGAAGAGCAATGTGGTCACTCCGCATCGACGGAGATCCTGCCTTCCCCTTTTCCACAAATACATCGCATGTAATATCATGACCAATTCCGATGCACTTAGTGATGGAGGTCGTGCCCATAGCGCCAGCAATGTCTGAGCCATACCCGAAAAGAATAGTGGTCCCATTTGACAGCCTCGTTGCTGTAGCGTCTTTATACTTCATGCCGCAGTTCTCCAGTGCCATGGCCTGGTACTCATCTGTCTGAACGGTCAGAATCCACACAACGGGCCTCCAGCCATAGAGCCCCTCGTCCCGCCTTGAAAACTGCTGCTGAGTTTCAAGAAAGAATTTTGATGGTGGGAAAAATATCACTCGCTCCTGACCACCTTGACCTTGAACAACTGGTGTGGGTGTCAGGCAACCAAATTGTCCGGGAAATAGAAGGTTGGATGAGGGCGATTTGTAAATATTCTCCTCCACGAATTCTTGTCCCACAAGTGAAAGCAAGCCGCCAAAAGAATATTTTCGCAACGTCTTCACTGTCAAGTTAGACACTTGGTACCCTATGTCGTAGAAGGCACCCGTAGTTGCGCTGACGGTGTAGAATTGACCAAACGTTCTAGTATTCTGACGTAACACTGCTACTGGGCACTTTATTTTTAGAGTATCACTTGAAGAACTGCTTAGATTGCATATTTAGAAGCCCTGCAAGAAGTGGATTAAAATCTGCGGCTGGTTTCCAAACAGTACAGCACGAGGATGTCGAATCATGTCGCCTGTCGATGACGGCAGCATACGCTCCAGAAGACAGAAGTTAACGACATTCTGGCGACGCGTCCATTTGCGTGTGTTCAAATCGAACATCCAGAGAGTACAGAAACGCTGTCGATTCCTAAAATCCATTTTGCTGAGTGTGTTGTTGTAATTCGTTATACCGCCATGAAGTATCAGCGTGTTGTTCCACACAACCAGAGACGGGAGAAGAATTGGATCAGGTCGCACGGGAGACTGGGATTCAGCTACAACTTCCCAGGTTCCTAATGTTATAATACTTTGCTTAGTGGTGTGAACATGTACTCGTCGAAGACGTGATACCACAGTGCACGATTTTCCCAAGTCGTAATCTCTCCACATCTGTTCGGTTATATTGTTGTGGCAAAGAAGCTCTCCGTAAGCTAAAATCCAATAGCTGTTTTGATCGTCATCTGTGTCAGCCAGTGTCACTATCGACTGTAAGTATCTGTGGCTAGCACTACTAGTATGTGCGTCACGTGACACGACCTTTCGTAGCTTCATGTCTCGCCAAACGTACATTACGTTGCACTCGTCCCACGGCCCGAAATCGTAGATGATCAAATCCTGCCTGGATGGGGAAGTGGCCAGAGCAGGTTTGAAGCCATGGGGGCTCCGACACTTCTGGGTTAACCCAGGATACGTCAGCGTGGCAATATGTCTCCAAGAGATTACTACAGCTTCAGTATCCATTGCCATTAGGTGGTCCACTCTATAGCCGGGTTTGCCCTTGATCGACCGAAAGCCCAGCTTGACGATATGCTCAGTACGGCCAGATCGTCCTGGCTGGAGGAAAAGAGTTGTGGAAGGAGTAGGGTGAGTGCGAAGGCGATCAAAAGAACTGAACGGCCTGCGTCTGGGGTATTCATAAACATTCTGGGTCCGCAGAGGTCTGCTATCTCCTTGGTCCGGTCCATTTAATGCGGTGGCAGGATTTGAGGCAGAGATCGATTTGATAACACAGATGAGGGCTACAAAAGATATTTGTTTCATCACGCACCTCTGTGTGCGGCACGTCAGCACCATGTCTACATGTAATCCCACCAAATCAGGTCTGGTGCGAAATTCTGGGGGTCGACGAAACGGTGACAAAGGCGTAAACGGCCTCTCGTCACTAATAGTCCAGCTAGTGAAGAATAAAATGTAGCTATTGGCAAAGGACAAGACTGATGCCTCCAAAGTGTGTCTGGCGGCAATATCAATGCTAATGGGTCATGCCTCTTCTCCACAGTCTGTTATATAGCTAGGTTTGCAATCCCGATACATGTACATGTATCCAGACACTTTCCATATCTGTAAAATACGGGTGTAACTAGTTGAAATACATGCCAACTTACCCCACGGGACCCGTGTCCTAGGAATCCAAGGCGCAGATCGATTGACGTGCGACAAATCGACCTGCTTATCTGACTTCCTTCCTCCACAAACACTCCGCCTATTAAACCCATGTGCACACTAAAAGTGCATCATCACTGGCCTTCGCGATGTACATGTTGATGTATACTCAATCTACGGATAGCATGTACATGTACAGTGTGTGTACATGTACATTCGGGTTAGGGCCTGTCCACACTAGGTAATAAAAACGGCGTGCCGTTTCAGAGTACGTGACGTACACGCGGTGCGCTGTCCACACTTCGCTCTGTCACCTGTACCACTCCGTGTACCTGTTCATTTTTGCGCGTGGATGCACTACTGGCAGACACACAAGATGCACTACTGGCAGACACACAAGATGCACTACTGGCAGACACACAAGATGCACTACTGGCAGACACACAAGATGCACTACTGGCAGACACACAAGATGCACTACTGGCAGACACACAAGATGCACTACTGGCAGACACACAAGATGCACTACTGGCAGACACACAAGTGACTTGTAGTTGTAGCGTGTAGACCAGGCAAGCACTCCCTGGCTTGGTCTAGACCTACCCAGCTTGCTACAAAAACGAGTGGCGGCCCAGCGATGGCAGTACTGACGCCGAGCGCAAGGAACATCACCCTGAACTCTGTTCCGGGTACGGAAATTTGGCCACACTCTCGCGGCAGCGCAGCGTCACGGTCGAGGCCCGCTATAGCATCGCTTGATGAACTAATGGTTGTGGCCGCCGTGTATTTCCAGTAAAAGTCCCTGGCTTTGGCCTTCAGGTCGTGAATTTCTTTCATCACAACTGAACAGGGTTCTACTTCCTATCCAAACAGTTTCAAATACTCGCTCGTCAGTGAATCATCTCTCTCTCTCTCTACTACACCTTCCTCTTCACCAGACCCCGGGATTTCTCTGCATGTCCAGCCACGACTGTATCAATGTCGCCTCAGAGTCGTAGCTGAAACGGACGTGTGGCATTATGAAAACGGCAAAGCAAAAACAAGCTGCAGCAGCTGGAAACAGCAAGAAAAAATGCGATCCGAAAACTCCACCGATCGACTCTCACACAACAAACACTGCGAAAACGGCACGTAGATGAGAAACGTGCTTTGTACAGGGGTCCTCGACTCACGTTCCGCGTGAATCCCACGTTCCCCGTTATCGGCCATTTTTCGTCACTCACCTTGGCAACAAGCATGTTTACGGCGTGTTTACGTGGTTTTCTACCTAGTCTGGAGATTGAGTGCAATCGGGTTATACAATCATGCATGTACATGTACATGTACATTGTGTACATGTACATTGTGTACATGTACATGTACACATAATACCAAGAGTACATAACCCCCCAGAGTGTGCAACGCCTGATCCAGCTCTGCATAGGGTCTTGGTCGAGCGGAATCGGATCTTTGCGTCATAATATCGTACACATCTGAGGGGAACCCGGGGAGTCGCGGGTACTCTTGGATCAAAAACAATGGTGCCCTGCCTCGAGACCGGCCTTGCGCGGGTGTGAAATGTACGCATGACATCAGAAGATCCGATTCCGCTCGACCAAGACCCTACACAGAGCTGGATCGCCGTTGCACACTCTGGGGGGTTATGTACTCTTGATAATACATGTACATGTGCATGTATTATGTACATGTACATGTACATAATACATGCACATGTACATTGTACATGTACACAATGTACATGCGTAGGCCCCTGCACATGTACATGTACCTAGGGTTGGCGCCGATAGGCGTTAGTTAGCCTTTGGGTTATCCTGGAATGAGAATTATCATAATATTTAGCTCGGATAGTGAGCCAGTAAATATAAATAAAATAGATGAAATCACATGGAAACGAGTTATGAAGCAACTATCCACTCAGCCAGGACTGTAACAAGATTATAAGCAATCAGAAAGTGCGATAACATTAACAGGGCACAAAACTGACAGGCTACTGAGACATTCAACGATGTGAGACCTGGTTATGTACTGTATCAGTACAAATTCTCGTTTGGAATTAACTTTCCCTATATTCGTTAGGGGCACGAAATAACTAAAGTTTGTACATGTTCCAAACTAAAAGTTTTTTCTGAACGTTCGGGGTGACAGACCTCGACCAAAAACGATATTTAGTACGTAACAAGCCTGCTGGTGGAGTGATCAAACGAAGGATTTCGTGAACGAAAATATGTACTTATACGAGCTCGTACAGTAGTTGGTTCATAACTCGTTTCCATGTGATTTCTTCTTTTTTAATTATCATAAAAATTAATATTACGTTTCGATGTGTGAAGAAGGTGCTGAGCGAGTGGTCACTGCTTGGATGACGACTACACCATAGCTTACTGGTAGAGCATCGCTGGCCATGCGGAAGGCATGCGGCTATTCTATCACCATATTTTCCGGTGTGTTAGCCGCATCGGGTCGCAGCCGCTCCCCGCCCCCTTCCCATTTCTTGCTCAGATTCCGTTTTTGTTGATATTCAGTGGAACACTATACCAGAAAGCTGTAACTCGGACTTTGAGTGTTTTAGTCTCCCCACTCCTTCCTGTAGGGAAAGTGCAGAGTTGTAGTGATGGGAAGGCACGCGGCTATTCTATCACTCTATTTTCCGGTGTGTTAGCCGCATCGTGTCTCAGCGGCTCCCCGCCCCCTCCCCATGTTGTGCTCAGATTTCGTTTTTGTTGACATTCAGTGGAACACTATACCAGTAAGCTGTAACTCGGACTTTGAGTGTTTTAGTCTGCCTACTTGTGCCAGTCGTTGTGAGACTTTTCCATTCACCCCTACCGTTAGACGCTGCATCTGTCGCCATTTTTTTTTCATACGAGAAACCACGAACCTCCAGAACAGAATATGTTTACCGGCTGTTAGCAGCCGTCGTGAGTTCCCTTCGGGAACGAACACAAGAATTTACTTACAAGTACTTTAGGAAATTAGAGGCGTTCGGACGACCACGATTTACCAGGACCAGTGACCTCTTGGAGAGGCTCTCTGTTTATCGCGTGGACGAGGTATATCGCCAGAAACTGCTCGTGCTGGTATGGCGGTGCGTTTATAACCGTGCCAGTCCTGCTCTGCAGGCACTGTTTGTCAGCAACTGCGGAGCAACTCGCCTTCAGCGCAGTCTGGGCCTGCAACAACCAATAGCCAGAAGCCGAGCAGACCAATGCCGACCGGCATCTCGCGGTTGCCTGTTATGGAACCATATACCTGACACGGTGCGAGCCATGGGCAACATCCCAGCATTCCGTCGAGCTGCCATTCCCTACACGTTGTAGACTGCTACACAATTGGTCACACCATGGTATTCAGTACCCACGAACTTTGCAAAGCCGCGCCGATAATATGATAATGTACCGTGGTGCATGCACCGATGGTACCACCACTTCGTAGACTGCCTCCCGTTCATTTCTGTGCTCCTGTCTTTATTCTCGTCAGCTGTGTACATCAGCAGTTCAATTCTGTGCTCCAGTCCTCTTTATTCTCGTGAGCTGTGTACTTGTTTTGCTGTTTGTTTGGTTTATTTGAATTCGCTCAGTAACGGTGTACTTCAGCTATTCTCTCCTCCCTCTTCTGAATTTGACTCTCCGCTGGCCTTCTCTCCTCCTATCCCCTTACATTGTATTGGGCCTCCGCAGCTCCCCCCCCCCCCCTCCACGCACACACTACATTGTCACATAGCACAACTCAACCATTCGCTACCCTGTTATTGAGCACTCCTGCTCGTTTGGTCTCGCGAATCCAAATAAAATCAATCAGAGGCCCCATGACTCGTTGCGTCGTACTGCTCTTTTTTCTCCGAAACTCAACACTTGTAAGCCAGATAAGAAAAGAGCAGTACGAGGCATGTAGCCTCTAATTTCCCGGTACTTTGAAATTCTCCATGAAGTGCATTGAAATTACATGTACTTTAAATGTACATGTATCTACAGCCCATTTGAAAACTATAGACGCGTAGGGTTCTTGAAATATTTCAAAATTGGCTGGAGCTTTTTGAGAATAACGTTAGTTTTCGGAATATTGCTCAGGTTCGCTCCACAATTACTCTCATATAGTTTCTAAACGATTGGATAACAGATGCCCAATTTGGAAAATTGTATGCACAAAGTGATCACAGATTGTACATGTATGTGGTATAGATGCTGGCATAACGGTTTTTGCCTAGTTACTAGTACGCGTCTATAGTTTTGAAATGGACTGTAAATGGGCTTGATATCTGAGGATTGGTGGATAGCCATGAAAGTTTGAAACTGCGAGTAACAGCTTAGACATGTACGTGTACACGTAGTTCAGCTCCGTTCCATTGCTAACATGTGTGTTGGCTCTGCCCTCGTTGTGTTAATCATTTTTTCCAAGAGTTTAGCAGCATAGCCTGCGGGTACCAGTGCAGACAATACGTCATCAATGGGTTTTTTTAAATGAAAGGCATAACTAAAGTTGTAACAACATTTTCCTAGTTTGTCCTTCACTTTGAACAGACAACATGTAGAAGTTAGTTTGGTACAAGTACAATGATGGATTGCAAAACACGAATATCAGTCGACTGACACCACACATGACTTTAGTATGATACATGTACATGTACATGTACATGACACATGATGTATGTGATTGTGAATGTATATGATGTATGTGAATTCGTCCTTTCCCTGTGCCTGCGTTATCGCCGAACACACTCTATACTGGTGGCGTACCCACTCCTTGACAAGCAGAATGGCTCTGTCTGTTTCATGTATTATAATGTAAACGAAAAGGACATACATGTATGGATATGAGTTTTACGAGTAACTCTCCACCACTGTAACCAGATACTATTATACAGTCAGAAAGTGCAACAACTAGGCACAAAACTGACAGAGTACGGACAGAGTACTGAGACATTCGACGTCCTGACACCTAGCTCGAGTTACTCTTAACTCGTATCCATAATTATATCCTTTTCCTTTCTACATTTACGATTGGCTCAACATCCGAGTATAATGTATAGCTACGGGAACAATTACAAGAGACCTGCGATAAAATGATCAGCTGTAGCCCCTACTCCACTTTTATGTTTAGGTATCTGTGTCATTCGGATCTTCCCAAGTTGTACATTGTACTGTTGAGATACCGAATTCAAATAAATCAATACCATACAATACATTAAATTTCTCAAAATGCGAAGACTCCACTGTAGCCATCCACTATATCCATACATCTTCACACAACACTCTCCAAACGGTCTCTGGGCTACACCAGTCACTAAAAGAAAAAGAGATATTAAATTTTTACAAACGAGAAAGGACCAAGGAACTACAAGTTACGCTATACTGTCCACTAACACCACCAGTTACTAAACAATCAGCTCATGCGATAACATTGCACGACACTGACCGACGGTACTGACTTTCTACAACTAACTGGCTAACAGCTCTAGCACATCTTGGATGCGCACTCCAACAGCCTTCCAACTTGGAAGGTTCTAAGTTATAGAAATACCATCAGGAGGGGAAGGTGAGCGCAACCAAGAAAAGCACGAGCTGAAAGTCTCAGCTGTGAAGGACGTTGGCCTGCTTATTGTCCATGTAAATTGTCATAGTCGAAGTACAGTGCTGTTTTACTGAGGCGTTCGGTTTTTCATGATTCTTGTTCGTATAGCTTCCCCTTTTATTGATCTTCGCATCTTTTGAGCCACACAAGTTGTGTGGAATGTTGCTTTGCGTTCTTGAATCGTGATTTGACCGTATCGTCCAATGGTCTTGCCAGTATCGTCATCGACATGCATGAACATCCGCCAACGTCCTTCATGGAATAATTTATTCCGTGATTTCGCGAGCATAAATCCGCCGGAGGCTACTACATGTACATGTATGTTCAAAACCGGGCTTTCCCGAATAGTAAAACTTGTATTGCTGGTCAGGTGACCCGCTTGGCCTGACCACCCGACATCCCAGCGCTAGGACTGCTTGATGTGATGCACATCATGTCATCATGGGGTAGTTTGACTATAACAGTCTACCATGGTCTATTACTACATGTACAATGTACAATGTACATACTCATTACGTGTTTGGAGAATGCATGGAAAACCACTGTTCACGGGTGTTCGATTTTTATTTTATTTTAATCCACTCAACTCGTGGTACATGACCAATTGGCACACAAAGTGCGAGAGAGGGGTGATATCCAAGCATAGCAAGAAAAGAAAAGAAATAAGGAAAAAGAGGCGAGGGAAGGTAACCAAGCAGGAGAGATTTGAAAACCGCAATCAATAAGACAAGCTGAATCGAAATTTGTGTATACTTTGTTCATGCAATGTAAAACGGTGGAGACAATGTGCAATAAAACGATGAAAATAGATTTACAATCATGTAGTGTAGGTGGTTGCCTCAGCAGTACATGTACATGTATAATTATATACAGCGTCAAAGAGGGTCGAACAGATGACAACATAACCGTCGCTTTACACTACAGGGTTCTCTGATCATGAATTTGGTATTTTCTATCTTAGCACATTGATTCAGCTTTGCCATTACAATCAATCTGTCGAGATAGCAACGAAAAAAAACTTACTAATGCCAAACTCTGGCCAATGCGCAATTCGCATCACCTGTTGCGTTTCCGTATCTTTATTATACAAGTACATGTACATGTAAATCTATTTTTGAAGTGGTATGCCTAAAAGTTGGAGGCTTTCAAGGAGGCTTTCACTACGAACATACTGTCTTGTAGAAAGACGTGAATTGGTTACCGGAGATGTGCAGAATGCTTCAGAAAATTCAAGAAAACCAGGGGATACAAACGTGATTAACATGTCCATACGCCTTGAAACTATTATGGACAAGAATGGGCCCGCACTTTAAAATGTGTTGTAAATCTGGGTCAGACGTTCGTGCTGAGAGAGAGAAAGAGGAGGGGGGGTCTGTAATAAGAGACAATCCTTTTCATACAGTACAAGTCCAGTGCAAGAATAGCGATGAGAAGGATATGCGATGATAGTTGAACAAGAATCTAAAAAGAATCTACAAAGAATCTACATACATACATGTACGGAAGTAGTAGTAATTGTGTTTCTTATACACTGTGCGCTGGTGTACGTACAATGTACTCTGTGTACTCTGTGCAAATGTCCGTCAGGCGTTAGCTTGCTGGGTCTCAAGGTCGTGGGGGATTTCACTGAAATTTGGTCGTTCCGTGGCGGTGGGTCGCAGGCACGCTTCCACCAGGTGACGATAGTCGTATGGCATGCCAGGTGGCAGTGGCAGCTGGTGGCCACGGGCGATTGCCACCTCCACCTCTCCCTCGCCCTTAAGATGGACATACGGTGTTTGGCGAGTGAATATCTCCCACAGCACCACTCCAAAGCTGTGCAGAACGTGACAAATCCGGAACAAAACATCACACGAGAAGAGAGAGAACGTTAGAGGAGAGAATGGTGAGAGAATGTTTGGGGGAAAGGGAAATATAGAGACAAACAGACGGACAGACATACAGACAGACCGACACACAGACGGAGGAGAATAGGCCGACTGAGGGTCATAGGCGGATCCCACAACAGGAGAAAGATTACACCGATTGATACTGGTTTATTTTTTGCGTTTCGACGATTGTCTCCTTGAGAAAGGTAATCATTTTTTTAATATTCTGAAGAAGACAATCGTCGAAACGTGAGTATATTAGTATCAATCAGTCTGGTTTTGCTCCTGTTGTGTGGTGCAACTATTCTCCGTTGCAGTTCTTGAATCTCTTGGCTGAACCTGTGCTGTTGTGTCATCGTATGAATATCAAGTTTCTTTCCAAACCCAGACAGACAGACAGAAAAACAGACCGACAGAAAACATACTTACAGACAACCAGACGGACGGACAGACAGCCGGACTGACAGAAAAACAAATAGACAAACTGACGGACAACGGGGTCTATATAACACCACGGTGCAAAATCGGACCACTTAAATTAACATGAACGAGACAAGACAGTACATTCTGATCGATTCTACGAATAGTGGCCGTGAGATAGGCAAGCAGTCAGGCAGGCATAGTGGGATGATTTAAGACCATCACTGACAAACAGGGAAACTAGCTTCACGTCCTGCTTGAACGGGAAGAATTCTTCCAGCTGTGCTGCGACCTACAGTTATGGTTTATGGGAACACGTAACCTGAGACGAGGAAAACATGCTTGCAGCGAATGGGAGTATCGGTCTTTGACCACCGTGGTGGGTCTGATCTACTCAGCGCCCATGGCTTACGGAGCTGCAGCTGCGCCTTAATAACCCATTTTCCTCGAGGGTGGTGGTGTTACTACGCATGCGAACACCTCCGTCTGACGGAACCCCACTTGAAGCGTGAAAGTACTTCCGAGTATTCGTATGAGATATTTTCCCTCGACCGTTATTTACTGTACAGTGTAAGGCGACTGTGCTGGGATAAAGTGACAGTCATAATAGAGTGGCTTCACATCTTTGTCATATGACTTAAGTTTTCTTCGATCGTGATCATGACGCAATGCATGTGGACACCAGAGCCAATAATAATTGCCAGTATGCGGAACATACAATGTAGATGCAATTAAGGGCTGACTGGACTTGTAACCAATATGGCTATCCCGTATGATTATGGTTGCGCTACGGGACTTTTTGCTTCTTCTTTTTCGGTAAAATCCACGTTTGTTCAGCAATTGAAGGGAATAATGGAGTGTAGTGGTGGGAGTAAATAAATTAAGCTCAGTCGACCAGAGGCCTACCTGTATACGTCGGCTTTCTCGTTGTAATGCTCTCCCCGCACAGTCTCGGGTGATTTCCATCTCAGTGTACCCACTTCACGGGTCATCACCGATGCAGAATAGCGCTGGTACGTCTCACCATGGTTTGTAGAGATGTCCGTAAGCAAAGGAGTTGACAGACTGGTTTCCTCTTGTTCTGTATTCACCCCGGGATTCCCGGAGTCGCTTGTCACGATACGCGCAGGTTCAGTTGGAATCTGTTCGGCTGCCTCAGCGAGCAGATTTTCATCGCCTTGTGTATCCGTGGGGATAGTTGTTGGGGTCGCAGGAGCTGAGCTGTGGGTCGTCTGGTCGCCAGCCTTGTCAGGATCTAGAATCGCCATGAACCGTGACGTGCCCAGGTCTCCGATTTTCACCACCCACTTGTCGCTGACTAGCAGGTTGGGAGACTTCAGGTCTCTGTGCAGACGTGGCGGGTTGGAGCCGTGCAGATATGCCATCCCGCGGGCCGTGTCCAGGGCGAACCTCAAGCGATCGTGATGTGTGAAGACATTGTCTCTGTCGTGGAGCACGTGATAGAGCGAGCCGCGCCGCAAGTACTCCATGACGAGAAACGGTCGTTTACTTGCGTGGTCAGTGCCGGCTCCCAGAAATATGACGATATTAGGATGACGAATTGAACGGAGTACTTCAGCTTCTTGGATAAAATGATCAGTCAGCGAAATGTTTCTACCTGTGTATTTTGGTAGTACTTTCACAGCTACCAACATGTCGCTGAACTCTGCTAGCCACACTTGCGAGAAAGAGCCCCTGGCCAGTTTCTTGGTGCGGTTGAGCGATGACCACTGTATTCTTGCCCCGATGTTGATTTGGTCTAGCTTCTTCTGATACAGTCGCATACTCTTGTGTTTGTCCTGCAGTTCTCTCTCCTTGAGCTTGAGTTGCTGGTTTCTGTTGTGGTACTTTCGGGTAGCAAGAGCAATGGCCGACACAAACAGGAGGATTGCCGTCGCAATGGATAGGCTGACTAGCGGCACGCGACAGTTATCGTATGGCACGAAACCGAAGTTACAGTGACACACAGGTATTAGGTTTTCGTCTACCACACACACACCATGCCCACTGCACAGCTGACCGCGGCAGGGAGACAGAGCAATGCAAAATTCGGAGCCTTCCGCTTCGCTTGTCGTAAAGTTCGGACACGGCCAGCACCCGCCTTCCAGCGAATCCGAGAATGCTCCCCTCTGGCAAGGCTGGCAGGTTGCGTTCAACAGTTGATAGCCTTTCGGACAAAGACCCTCAGTTATCGTCATATACTTCTGCCTAGACGACCCCCTAATGGCGTGCGATCCACTCTCACCACCGAACAAATAGAGTTTTTCTCCTCTTACCACGTGATGTCTACGTATGTAGCTGTAAGTGAAAAGTGGTAATAGTTTTGCCACTGTGTGCATAGAGCTGAAGTTCAACAGAATGAGTTGTGACAGTGTAGCCTTATCCCCTCCGAAAATTAACAATCCGTTCTGGTTGTACCGTGTTAGGGTGGCGTAGCGTCTGGTCAGCACGCATGACGTTAGAGGGATACGCCGAACTCGCAGGGTTTCTGTGCTGTTGCACATCACCACCCTGAGAACTGTGAGAGATTCGCTGCAAGCACGGGGACTAACGTGACCGCCGAACACATAGTGCAAATCTGCATGTGTCATTGCCGCATGACCATAACGCTTTGCCAGAGGACCACCGACAACACTGTGCGGTTGTATTTTCTTCCATTCTCCTTCGCAGCGGTGATCGTGTGTCAGATGCAATATCCAAACGTCGGATAGAGCGTGAGCTGTGCTCTTTTCTTTACCACCGTAAACAAGAAGACGTCTGTCGTCAAGACGAACCGCAACGTGCTCATACCGCATCGACGGAGATCCTGCCTTCCCCTTGTCCACAAATTCATCACATCTATTATGCCCAATTCCTATGCACCAAGTGATGGAGGTCGCGGCCGTAGCGTGAATCGTTTTGTAGCCATATCCGAACAGAATGGCGGTACGAATTGACAGACTCGTTGATGAAGCACTCTTGAAGACCCTGCTGTGGCAATTCCTCAGGGCCATGACCTCGTACTCATCGGTCTGCACGGTCAGAGTCGACACAACGGGTGTCCAGTCATAGAGCCCTGCATCCCACCTTGGAACCTGCCGCTCAGTTTCAAGAAAACATTTCGATGTTGGGAAAAACATGACGCGCTCCTGACCACCTCGACCTTGAACAACTGGTGTGGGTGTCAGGCAACCAAGTTGTCCAGGAAATAGAAGGCCCGGCGAGTGCGATGTGAAAAGGTTCTTCTCCACGAATTCATGTCCCACGACTGAAGGCGAGCCTTTCACAGGAATTTCCAGCGACGTCTTCACTGTCAAGCTAAACACTTGCTTCCCTATCTTGTAGAAGGCACCCGAAGTTGCGCTGACGGCGTAGAATTGCCCAATCTCCGGTGTCCTTGTATTCTTACTTGAAGTACGTGACACAGCCAGTCGGCATTGAGGAGTATCACTTGAAGAACTGCTTAGATTGCAGAGGTACGAGCCCTGCAAGAAGTGGATTACAATCTGCGACTGATTTCCAAACAGTATTGCTCGAGGACGGTGAATAATTGAGCCCAACACTGACAGCAGCATACTCTCCAGAAGGCAGACATTAATGACATTCTGGTGCCGCGTCCATCTGCGCGTGTGAAAATCGAACATCCAGAGCGTGCAGAAAAGCTGTCGATTGCTTGCGTCCATTAGGCCATTACGGTTGTAATTCGTTAAACCGCCATGAAGTATCAACGTGTTGTTCCACACAACCAGAGACGGGAGAAGAATTGGTCCCGGTCGCACTAGGGACTGGGATTCAGCCACAACTTCCCAGGTTCCTATTGTTATAATACCCTCCTTCGTGGTGTGAATATGCACCCGTCGAAGACGTGATGCTACAGTGCAATATTTCCGGAAGTCGGGAGTATTCTGCTGCCATTTGGACATCTTGTTTTGGCAAAGAAGCCCTCCGTAAGCTAAAATCCAATAGCTTTTTTTATCGTCATCTGTGTCAGCAAGTGTCACTATCGACTGTAGGTATCTGTAGCTAGCACTACTAGAACGTGCTTCACGTGATACCACCTTTCGTAGCTTCATGTCTCGCCAAACGTACATGATGTTGCACTCGTCCCACGGCCCGAAATCGTAGATGATCAAATCCTCTCTTGATGGTGAAGTGGCCAAGGCAGGTGTGAAGCCATTGGCGCTCCTACACTTCTGGCTTAACCCAGGATACGTCATCGTGGCTATATGTCTCCACGAGATTACTACATCTTCAGTATCGATTGCCATTAGGTGGTCCACTCTGTATCCGGGTTTGCCCTCCACCCAGCGAAAGCTTAGACTGACGATGTGCTCAGTACGGCGAGATCGTTCTGTCTGGAGGAAAAGAGTTGAGGAAGGAGTCGGACGAAAGCGAAGGCGATCAGAATCATGCACCGCATTACGTTTAGGGTATTCATAAACGTACTGGGTTCGCAGAGGGCTGCTATCTCCTTGTTCCCGTCCATCTAATCCAGTAGCAGGATTTGAGGCAGAGATCGATTTGATGACACATATGAGGGCTAGGAGAGTTATTTGTTTCTTCACGCACCTCTCTGTCAGCACCATGTTTATTCCCACCACGGCAGATCTTCAGAATGCACGACGTTGTGCGAAAGTCTAGAGACGAAAGGTGACAAAGGTGGAAACAGCCTCTCGTCACTTATAGTCCAGCTAGTGAAGATTACAATGTAGCTAATGGCAAAGTAGAAGACTGATGCCGCCAAAGTGCGTCTGGCGGCAATATCAATAATTCTGTGGGATTCCAAACCAAATAAACAGACAGTTTCCAGATCTGTAAACTACGGGAGTAAGTAGTTGAAATACATGCCAGCTTACCCCACGGAACTCATGCAAGAGAAATCCAAGGCGCAGATGGATTGCAGACGTGCGACAAATCGACCTGCCTGTCTGACTTCCTTCCCCCACAAAGACTCCACCCTAGCCATGTGCAACCTGAAAGTGCATCACCCTTGGCATCTGTCACATAAAATTACATGTACTTGCGACTTGTGTGTACATGATTGTATAATTAAATGCATGTACAATTGTGTTACGGAAATGAGTACAACCGGGGTATACAAACATGCAGGTACATCAAAATACATGAAGCATCAGGAGATCCTTTCCATTCGCCTTCATTGGTGAATGGATCTGCCTACCCCCTGCTCTCCTCAGGCAAGAATTATCGTTGAAGTGTCTGCTTGCTTTCAAGGCAGCTGCCTGGAAGCACCTTCGCCTGAAGGACTGGCTGTGGGCCACAGACGGCAACTAAGATCAACTAAGAGCCATAACTCTGTACAAACGCCTTACACCTCAATTTGATTTTCCTACTTTATGCTGCTATTTTAGCACTACATTCCTCTCAACCCGCCCCACTCCTTTCTGATGCGCGCATCCATCCAGTGCTGACTCCGAGACCCCAGGTATTAGTAGGACTAGTTTGACTCGCCACCCCTGCACCTTGCTTTTGCATGTCCTACCCATTTTGTCTGTTTGTCCTCGTCTTCTGTCCCATTTTGCTGTTCCCATGGTTACCCCATATCATCAGTAGGATCGTGTGCTTTATACTTTTAAATCAAGAATCCAGATTGAGAAAACTCTTGAACCGCAATACCGTAAAGGTAAGTTATACATACTGTGGCTGCATGCCCAGCATAGAAACCAGAATAAAAGGAGGTAACAAGAAAATATGCCTGCATGCCCACTGAGTGGTGAATGCAGGACTAGCCCTTGGCGGATTATGCTCGGTAATTTGCTGAATTATGCTCAAGTTCCATTATGCCCAAATTATGCCAGTGATTATGCTACATTTTGCTGTAATTATGCCAATGATGGTGCTATAGTGTACCCTTGCACTCCTGTTGCACTTTGCAACTTTGCAACAACTCTGGCACGATGATAACACGGCTTATACGGGGTAACATTCACCAGGTTATTTCCTGTTACCGTACCATGGTCTATTACTACACGTACAATGTACATACTCATTACGTGTTTGGAGAATGCATGGAAAACCACTGTTCACGGGTGTTCGATTTTTATTTTATTTTATTTCACTCAACTCGTGGTACATGACCAATTGGCACACAAAGTGCGAGAGAGGGGTGATATCCAAGCACGGCAAGAAAAGAAAAGGAATAGAAAAAGAGGCGAAGGAAAGGTAACCAAGCAGGAGAGATTTGATAACCGCAAACAATAAGACAAGCTGAATGGAAATGTGTGTATACTTTGTTCATGCAATGTGAAACGGTGGAGACAATGTGCAATAAAACGATTAAAATGATTTACAATCATGTAGTTTAGGTCGTTGCCTCAGCAGTACATGTACATGTACATGACATTGTATAATTATGTACAGCATCAAAGAGGGTTGAACATAACACAACATAACTGACGCTTTACACTACAGGGTTCTCTGATCATGAATTTGATATTTTCTATCTGAACACTTTGATTCAGCTTTGCCATTACAATTGATCTGTCGAGATAGCAACGAAAAAAAACTTTACTAATGCCAAACTCTGGCCAATGCGCAATTCGCATTAGCTGTTGCGTTTCCATATCTTTATTATACAGTGTACATATAAATCTATTTTTAAAGTTGTATACCTCAAAGTGGGAGGTTTTCAAGGAGACTTGAACTACGAACATATTGTCTTGTAGAAAGAAAGTGAATCATCGTTAGCGGAGATGTGCAGAATGCTTCAGAAAATTCAAGAAATACAGCACACCAGGGGACACAAACGTAATTTGCATGTACATACGACTTCATACTGTTATGGACAAGAATGAAGCCCGCACTTTAGAATGTGTTGTAAATCTGGGTGAGACGTTCGTGCTGAGAGAGAGAGAGAGGGGGGGGGGTCTGTAATAAGAGACAATCCTTTTCATACAGTACAAGTCCAGTGCAAGAATAGCGATGAGAAGGATATGCGATGATAGTTGAACAAGAATCTAAAAAGAATCTACAAAGAATCTACAAACATACATGTACGGAAGTAGTAGTAATTGTGTTTCTTATACACTGTGCGCTGGTGTACGTACAATGTACTCTGTGTACTCTGTGCAAATGTCCGTCAGGCGTTAGCTTGCTGGGTCTCAAGGTCGTGGGGGATTTCACTGAAATTTGGTCGTTCCGTGGCGGTGGGTCGCAGGCACGCTTCCACCAGGTGACGATAGTCGTATGGCATGCCAGGTGGCAGTGGCAGCTGGTGGCCACGGGCGATTGCCACCTCCACCTCTCCCTCGCCCTTAAGATGGACATACGGTGTTTGGCGAGTGAATATCTCCCACAGCACCACTCCAAAGCTGTGCAGAACGTGACAAATCCGGAACAAAACATCACACGAGAAGAGAGAGAACGTTAGAGGAGAGAAAGGTGAGAGAATGTTTGATGGAAAGGGAAATATAGAGACAAACAGACGGACAGACATACAGACAGACCGACTCACAGAAGGAGGAGAATAGGCCGACTGAGCGTAATAGGCGGATCCCACAACAGGAGAAAGACTACACCGATTGATACTGGTTTATTTTGGCGTTTCGACGATTGTCTCCTTGAGAAAGGTACTAGTAATCATTTTTTTTAATATTCTGAAGAAGACAATCGTCGAAACGTGAGTATATTAGTATCAATCAGTCTGGTTTTGCTCCTGTTGTGTGGTGCAACTATTCTCCGTTGCAGTTCTTGAATCTCTTGGCTGAACCTGTGCTGTTGTGTCATCGTATGAATATCAAGTTTCTTTCCAAACCCAGACAGACAGACAGAAAAACAGACCGACAGAAAACATACTTACAGACAACCAGACGGAAGGACAGACAGCCGGACTGACAGAAAAACAAATAGACAAACTGACGGACAACGGGGTCTATATAACACCACGGTGCAAAATCGGACCACTTAAATTAACATGAACGAGACAAGACAGTACATTCTGATCGATTCTACGAATAGTGGCTGTGAGATAGGCAAGCAGTCAGGCAGGCATAGTGGGATGATTTAGGACCATTGCTGACAAACAGGGAAACTAGCTTCATGTCCTGCTTGAACGGGAAGAACTCTTCCAGCTGTGCTGCGACCTACAGTTATGGTTTATTGGGAACACGTAACCTGAGACGAGGAAAACATGCTTACAGCGAATGGGAGTATCGGTCTTTGACCACCGTGGTGGGTCTGATCTACTCAGCGCCCATGGCTTACGGAGCTGCAGCTGCGCCTTAATAACCCATTTTCCTCGAGGGTGGTGGTGTTACTACGGATGCGAACACCTCCGTCTGACGGAACCCCACTTGAAGCGTGAAAGTACTTCCGAGTATTCGTATGAGATATTTTCCCTCGACCGTTATTTACTGTACAGTGTAAGGCGACTGTGCTGGGATAAAGTGACATAATAGAGTGGCTTCACATCTTTGTCATATGACTTAAGTTTTCTTCGATCGTGATCATGACGCAATGCATGTGGACACCAGAGCCAATAATATATGATTGCCAGTATGCGGAACATACAATGTAGATGCAATTAAGGGCTGACTGGACTTGTAACCAATATGGCTATCCCGTATGATTATGGTTGCGCTACGGGACTTTTTGCTTCTTCTTTTTCGGTAAAATCCACGTTTGTTCAGCAATTGAAGGGAATAATGGAGTGTAGTGGTGGGAGTAAATAAATTAAGCTCAGTCGACCAGAGGCCTACCTGTATACGTCGGCTTTCTCGTTGTAATGCTCTCCCCGCACAGTCTCGGGTGATTTCCATCTCAGTGTACCCACTTCACGGGTCATCACCGATGCAGAATAGCGCTGGTACGTCTCAC